GCTCACACATTTTTGTCTTAGCTCGGGAAGGATGGCTCCGGAGCAATCTAATTGATGCCGCAGCCAGATCGCTTGCTCACAACTTTCATGCCAGTCGCTCGCAAAGTAGAATTTTTTGCTCACAAGACTCCCCAGCTTAGAGGGCGCATTGCCGCCAACACAAATGGACCAAACCGTACAACACTTGGAAGTCAAGTCAGGAATACGACGACTATACAGCCTAACATCTTGTTATTTTCACCGAGGAAAACAGAAAAGGCAACGATCAGCTTAGCTGAATCGGCTGTACCGCCGTCTGCAGCGTTAGAAACACGGTGCCAAAAGGGGTCCCCAAGGGTCATCTAGTCCAGCCACCTAAACAATGTAGGAAATTCACAGCTCCCCTCCCCACCACTCTCCCAGTGACCCCTGCCATATGCCCAGAGGAAGGCAAAAAAACCTCCAGGAACACTGGGCCATTCTGGCCTGGAGCAATCTTCCACTTGGTTCTCTGCAGACCTTTCAGTATAAGGCTACGTTCTTTCACTCTGTTCCACAAGGCTGAAGTCCACATGATGCACAGGTCGTTATGGAATCTCACCACATTTTTGCTTCTTCCTGCTGGTCAAGAAACCCCGAGGCCTTGTGGGTCAGGTACACAGCTAAGAAGGACTGTCAGTGTCTTCCTTCCGTAATACCAGCAGTCATTCTTCCACATAGCCCCCAAAGCAAAAGCAAAAATCGGAGTTCCACGGTACCTCTCTTCTCTTTGTTGACACAACCAGCTCTAGAAAAGGCTGGTCTTCACCCCAGGAGTCAATCTCTGTGAGATCATACAGGATGGTGGTGAGAGGCCCGAAAGACCACAGGACGTGCTTCCGCTTCTGCAAGAGGTGGTGGAACAACTGAAGAGGAAAAAGGAAGAGAAACTCGTCATACCAAATTCTCCACAGGATTCAACACCAGAATTTAATGGCGATTGGGTCAAATTCCAGGTCCTCAGCTTGGATGCTGGACTGGGATTAGAGAAGAGTCCGTTTGGGGTTTTGATAACAGGAGGGATCCAAAGACCTACACAGGTCATTCCATGTACGGAAGAGGGACTTCGGCCTCATGTTTCTCACACACACCCCGTACCACACGGCCAACTACAACTGAAAACCGAGGGGACGTTCACAAGAACTCTGCAATCTGGCACAAAGATGCACTGTTCAACATAAAAAAACGGCAGTGGTCTTACTGGGTGAGGTCTACTGAAGATCTAATGAAGTAGATCTTTGTATTTTCAGGTAACGTACATTTAATGCAAGTGCTTACCAGTTATATTATGAGAAAGAACTGTTTGTTTTGAAAATATGTGTTTGAATTGCGCATAAAAAACGGCAGCGGTCTTACTGGGTGAGGTCTACTAAAGATCTACTGAAGTAGATATTTGTATTTTCAGGTAACGTACATTTAACGCAAGTGCTTACCAGTTATATTACGAGAAAGAACCGTTTGTTTTGAAAATATGTGTTTGAATTGCCCTTTTTTTCCCCTCCAAAATTTTATTTATAACTTTTAAAAAAAATACAACAATTTCAGAATATCCAATATATGTAATATCACATGAAATGTACAATAAGGCATGATATATAATAACAAGAACTAAGTAAAACAAAACAAAAACAAAAAACAAATGAGCATCAAGAATAAGGAAGTGCAAAGGTGTAAAATTGCCGGTATAAATTTGGTTATATCATTGTACAGAAATAATTTCAATATATTTCTTGGGAACAGTGCTTACAGGAACAGTGTTATCTTGAAATGTTGCTTCTATGAATGGTAACCATTTGGCATAAAACAGAGACTGAGCTTTATATGTGTTAGATGGGGGTGATGACATTGCTATTTTCTCCATTGTATAGAATTCCCATATTTGCATGTACCACTGATGTAAAGTTAATGGGTTAGTACTTTTCCAGTTCCTAGCGATTACAGTTTTAGCTGCCATTAACATTAAGGAAATAAGATCCTTGTGAATTTTGGGAATTCCCAAATTGTCCCATAGATCTAAAGGACTAAAGTTGGTGAAAAGGTGATGCCGGCATAGTTTAGCAGCTAGAGTGCGGGACTGGGATCTGGGAGAAACCGGGTTCAAATCCCCACTTGGCCACAGAAGCATGGTGAGTAACTTTGCGCCAGTCATGCACGCTCAGCCTAACATACCTCACAGGTAGGGTTGCCCGGTCCCCCTTGGCTACCGGCGGGGGATGGGGGGGTAGGGTTGCCAGATCCAGGTTGGGAAATTCATGCAGATTTGAGGATGGGGTCTTGGGAGGGACCTCAGCGGGGTATAATGCCATAGAGTCCACCCTCCAAAGCAGCCATTTTCCCCGGGGGAGCTAATCTCTGTAGTCCGGAAACGAACTGGCATCCCTGCTGACAGGACGATTGTTGTGAGAATAAAATGGAGGAGCTTTTGGGCCCCCCACTGAGGGGAAAGGGAGGGTACATATGAGGTGAATAAATAAACCGATGGGGTTAGTCTGACGACTGCTTAGATGGCAGAGTGACAGGGTGCCGAACGCAAGCCACTTATATGACAAAGAGTGGGATTTAAGTAGAAGTGTTCGGAATCTCGATTGTTCCTCACAACGACCTCTCCCGTAGGAGACCCACTGTACTGTACGCTCACCACAGAGTTGCCAGTTAATGGGTTAGTACTTTTCCAGTTCCTAGCGATTACAGTTTTAGCTGCCATTAACATTAAGGAAATAAGATCCTTGTGAATTTTGGGAATTCCCAAATTGTCCCATAGATCTAAAGGACTAAAGTTGGTGATAAGGGCAAAGGTGATGCCAGCATAGTGTAGCAGCTAGAGTGCGGGACTAGGATCTGGGAGAAACCGGGTTCAAATCCCCACTTAGCCACAGAAGCATGGTGAGTAACCTTGCGCCAGTCATGCACGCTCAGCCTAACATACCTCACAGGTAGGGTTGCCCGGTCCCCCTAGGCTACCGGCGGGGGATGGGGGGGTAGGGTTGCCAGATCCAGGTTGGGAAATTCATGCAGATTTGAGGATGGGGTCTTGGGAGGGACCTCAGCGGGGTATAATGCCATAGAGTCCGGGTCTGGGGAGGGACCTCAGCGGGGTATAATGCCATAGAGTCCACCCTCCAAAGCAGCCATTTTCCCCGGGGGAGCTAATCTCTGTAGTCCGGAAACGAACTGGCATCCCTGCTGACAGGACGATTGTTGTGAGAATAAAATGGAGGAGCTTTGGGTCCCCCACTGAGGGGAAAGGGAGGGTACATATGAGGTGAATAAGGGCTCTTTTTGAAGCATGTACTCATTTGCATATTAAGCGACACACCCCTAATGTAGCCAATCCTCCGAGAGCTTACAGTGGCCCCTGTAAGAAGAGCTCTGTAAGCTCTTGGAGGATTGGCTACATTAGGGGGTGTGGGCTAATATGCAAAGGAGTTCCTGCTACAAAAAGACCCCTGCGGGCCGGGCGGCGGCCGGGCGGCGGCGCTTATATGACAAAGAGTGGGAATTTAAGTAGAAGTGTTCGGAATCTCTATTGTTCCTCGTAGGAGACCAACTGTACTGTACGCTCACCACAGAGTTGCCCTCGACACCAGCCAGCTTAAATGGAGTGAGGCCGTCGTTGTTTGGGATGGACTCCAAGGGTGCCAGACCCCCCGCGCGCTTCTCAAAGGACAGTAGCAGGTTGTACATTTGACAGGCGAAATTCCGGTTGGGCTGAAGAACCAGGATGTGAAGGATCGTGTTACCTGTGGGTGAAATGGAGAAATCATGCTGAAGGAAATGCTAGAGTCGATTTAAGAGTTCCTATCGGGTCTGCCTGCTCTGACTTGGATGGCCCAGGCTGCTCAGATCTTGTCAGACCTTGGAAGCTAAGCAGGACTGGCCCTGGTCAGGACTTGGATGGACTTGGATGGTGGGCCACCAGGGAGGTCCAGGGTAGCTACCCAGACACAGCCAATGGAAAACCACCTCTGACTGTCTCTTGCCTTGAAAAACCCTATGGGGTTGCCATGAATCTGCTGTGATTTGATGGCACTTTCCACGCACACCCTGAGTTTGTTTAATCAACTGAAGTCTTATTTACAGTGCAACCCTAAACAGATTTATAGCCTTCTAAGGAGCTGTGGTGGCTCAAGTGGTTAAGACGCTGAACTGCAGGCTGTGGAAGGTCAGTAGTTCAGCAGTTCAAGACCCAGAGTGCCGCATGGCGGAGTGAGCTCCTGTCTCTAGTTCCAGCTCCTGCCAACCTAGCAGTTCGACCGGGCGGCGGCCGGGCGGCGGCGCTTATATGACAAAGAGTGGGAATTTAAGTAGAAGTGTTCGGAATCTCTATTGTTCCTCGTAGGAGACCAACTGTACTGTACGCTCACCACAGAGTTGCCCTCGACACCAGCCAGCTTAAATGGAGTGAGGCCGTCGTTGTTTGGGATGGACTCCAAGGGTGCCAGACCCCCCGCGCGCTTCTCAAAGGACAGTAAAAAAGGACTTGGAAGGGTGTAATACTGTCCAGACTTGCCCTGTTAAGGCTTAATTTCTGTTTCTGTTGACGAAATCAGCGGACTTCAATTTTAAGCAAGATGGACAAATTTTTAATTAGCGAGTCTGAAAACACGAGCAATATTTTGGAGGCTGATATGTTTCTGGTGTATTCTTTGAACAGGGGATTAAAAAAGAAAAGAAAAATATGGCAGATTTTTACAAGTGGCAGCTTTTGTCTATTTAACTGCAAGGAGCTCACATTTCCTGGAATTTCTCAAAGAGGCACGATAATGATAGGCGAGCAATGTGCAAATGTATTTCATGTGCTGCCCCCAGCAGAATATGTAGCCAGCAGATTGCTTTAGGGTAGAGAAATGAGCCCTTTGCCTTTAAGACACGGCACCATGGGAAATGTAAAGACTCTTTAGGTCATATGATCTAAAACAGCTCACTCTATCGGTATAGAGAAGCCCTTTCCTGCAGCCTTTTTCAGTTTAATTGACTGACCACTTCAATAGACCAAACAGTCCTCAATCAGGTGATTAAGAGACAGGGGGTGGGTGCAGGAAGAATTCTCTTCTTGGTTACAGCTAGGATCACAGAGCCTTTAAATATCTATTTGCGGACAGTGTGGCGACTTTCTTATCTCTCTTCTAAGTGAAGGACTGTTTTCCTTTTATGCCCTTCCCAGGACTCTGATAATGTTCTGTGAACAGGGGGTGGAGTGAATTATGTCTAGGGGATGGGGTTTAGGCTGCCCTGCGTGTTACTGAAGCCTGTCCTGGCCCTGCTGGAGGATCTCCCGCTGGCACCGGGGTTTTGGCCACTGTGTGGCACAGGAGTGTTGGACTGGATGGGCCACTGGGCTGATCCAACATGGCTTCTCTTATGTTCTTATATCCTTTTGTCGGTAGTTCAGCAGTTCGAGACCCGAGTGTGCCGCATGACGGAGTGAGCTCCCGTCTCTAGTTCCAGCTCCTGCCAGCCTAGCAGTTCGAAAGCAAGAAATTGCAAGTAGATAAATAGGTACCACTTCGGTGGGAAGGTAACAGCGTTCCGTGTGCCTTGGTGTTTAGTCATGCCGGCCACATGACCATGGAAACGTCTTCGGACGGCGCTGGCTCTTCGGCTTTGAAACGGAGATGAGCACCGCAACCCTAGAGTTGGATTCGACTGGCTTTCGAGCAAGGGAACCTTTACCTTTACCTTTTTACAAAAGGATGAACTCCGTGTCTGTTCAGGATGCCAGCTTGCTGCTGAACGACCCGGTGTCAGAATGAATTTCATTCTCACATAAAACTGCTTAGGGAGGGAGGGATTTCATTGGAAGTACAATTTAAAAGAATCCCCTTACGCGATTCCGTCTCAAAAAATGCTACCTTTGTATATCGCTATATTGCCCCCTACTGCCAATGACAGAAGGGGCTGCCAGCAGAATAGCCGCTTCACAGAATTAAAGAGAAGTCCCGATTGGCTCTGAAGGATTCGCCCACCGGCTGCCAGTCTCTCACCTAGAGAATCTTGAGCCCTGATATCGGCTCCATTTGCAATCAGTAGCTGAACGATCTCCTCATTCCCCATGCAGGCTGCAAAAGACAAAATGTGCTCCCCTGAGGAGGAAGAGAAACAAGAGAGCAGAATTAAAATCGGGCCTCGAAGCACTGACCAAAATGTCACAACAGTAAGGTTATGTTTTGTACAGGTGAAATAATCTATCCATGCCACTTAATCCAAGAATTTGAAGGGTGGACCTCTGATGCTTAGCAAACATTTAGAAACATTTAGCAATTTAGCAAACATTTAGAACTAGTGAGAGGCAGCATTCTGGCTCCTCTCCAAGGAAGGGGAAACTTCTCTCTGCATCACAATTTTAATCAAAAATTGACTGAAACTGGGGTAGCCATGTTAGCATAGCGTAGCAAAACAAAACAAAAAAATGTCGCCTTAAAGACTAACAACCTTTAGTTCGGTATGAGCTTTTGTGAATCGGAGCTTCCTTCCTCAGATAAAATGGAAATAAAGAGGTTCAGTTCCAGGCTGTAGAGAATCACACCAGACCTATCTTTGCTCATCTCCTCTCTCTTTTCCCTCTCCCTTTCCATGATTTTCTGTGTCGTAACGAGACAAATGATTTCCTTTATTCCCATTGTATCTGAGGAAGCGACTCACAAAATATCGTAAATGGAATTAATGTTGTTAGTCTTCTAGGGTGCCACTGGACTTCTGCTTTGCTTTGCTTCAATCGCAAGCCCTGCAGACTGAAGCTCAAGTGCCAGCCTCCGGGGGGATGCCACGGAAAGGGTTGCCACTCTCCAGGTAGCACTTGGAGATCCTCCCGCTACTACAGTCGATCTCCAGACAACCAAGATCAGCTCCCCTGGAGAAAATGGCTGCTTTGGAGGGCGGACTCTACAGCATTATATCCTGCTGAGGTTCCTCCCCTCCCCAAACCCCACCTTCCCCAGGCTTCACCCTCGAATTTCCGTAGCCCAGAGCTGGAAACGAAGGCCATGGGTCACACAACGTGACTTCCAGTGCCCCATGCACCCTGCTAGCTGGACAGTGGGCTCCCTACAGAGCTGCCAAGCATCAAGAGAAACCAAGCAATGTGCCCGGACCTGGACACAGTCCAGGCAAGCTCAATCTTGTCAGATCTCGGAAGCGAAGCAGGGTCAACCCTGGCAAGTATTTGGGTGGGAGATCTCCAGAGAATACCAGGGTCAGGAGGCAGAGGCAGGCTATCAAGCCACTTCTCTGAATGTCCTCCGTGCCCCAATAGTAGATGCCAGAGGTCACCATGACTTCCGGGCACACGTGCGCACACAAAATGCAACAAGAGAGAAAGAGAGAGAAACCAAGCAATGTGCACAGGCTGAGTGACCCAGGGCTCTTTTTGTAGCAGGTACTCATTTGCATATTAAGCGACACACCCCTGATGTAGCCAATCCTCCAAGAGCTTACAGAGCTCTTCTTACAGGAGCTTACAGTAGCTCCTGTAAGAAGAGCTCTGTAAGCTCTTGGAGGATTGGCTACATTAGGGGGTGTGGCCTAATATGCAAAGGAGTTCCTGCTACAAAAAGAGCCCGCCGCCACCCCACTGCCCCATATGGAAGTTCACTGGTGGGGGTGCACAGGGAAGGAGGATTGGGAGCCCTTTTTAGAGGCTTCTGTCTGAACTGGCACCTCTGACGGAGTCAGGGGGCTAATGCTTCAGCAGCTGATACCCTGACCCAGGCCAGGCACCGCTACTGACTCAGCAACTGTGTGTCACTGCGCTGTTGAACTGGTCTCTGCTGCTGCCAGGCAATGCCCCTTCAGCAACAGCTGTCAGATCTCCTTCCTCCGTACATCAATTCTCAGCCACCGAATGCTGCCAAAGCTGCTGCTAAATTTCCGTGCATGTGCGAACCAGTCCGAAGATTCGGCTGAGGGTGAACTGCAGTTCTGTCAAATCACATTGACCTGATCTGGCAGAAAATGTTGGCACCGACCATAAGCGATGACATCGTTTATCACTACGTGACAAATCTAGACAGGGAGGACAGAGGCACTGAACTGTTAGGACTGTTTGTTCCAGGAGCACCACACGGCCGAGGGAGTTTGTTCTAAAACAGACACACGCCTGTTCTGGTGAAGATGTTGGGACCACAAACAGCAGGGCCTTCACAGAGTAATTTTGGAGTGCATCTTGCAACACAGCGCCTCTTAAACCTCGTGTCATGTGCTCATTTCTCCTTAGACCCAAAAAGCAATTCCCATCCTTCTTAACTGCAGGCGCAATCATACCACTGCAGGTGCAATCGTACCAAAATAGAAGAGATTTTTGGAGCTCCGTCTGAAGAAAAGCCCAGTCGCCCGGGGAGTGGAGATGTGAGCCCCTTTCCGGATCAGGGATTTCACCAGGTTGACGTTCTGATTGATGGCTGCGATGTGCAGAGCTGTTTGTCCTGAACATACACATAAAGAAAACCACACGTGTTAAGACCTGCATTTGGAGGGATGTTTGCGATTTCACCGTCTGTACCTAAATTTTGTGCCGCTGTGGAGCTGCGGTGGCTCAAGTGGTTAAGACGCTGAACTGCAGGCTGTGGAAGGTCAGTAGTTCAGCAGTTTGAGATCCGAGTTGCCACATGACGGAGTGAGCTCCTGTCTCTAGTTCCAGCTCCTGCCAACCTAGCAGTTCGAAAGCAAGAAATTGCAAGTAGATAAATAGGGACCACTTCGGTGGGAAGGGAACAGCGTTCCGTGCGCCTTGGTGTTTAGTCATGCTGGCCACATGACCACGGAAACGTCTTCGGGCAGCGCTGGCTCTTCGGCTTGAAAACGGAGATGAGCACCGCAACCCTAGAGTCGGATTCGACTGGCTTTCGAGCAAGGGAACCTTTACCTTACTCTGAAATTGTTGTTGTTGTTGTAGCTGTCAAGTCACAGCTGACGTATGGCACCCCTGTAGAGTTTTCAAGGCAAGAGACGCTAGGAGGTGGCTCACTATTGCCTGCCTCTGCGTCACAACCCTGGTATTCCTTGCTGGTCCAAATACTAGCCAGGTCTGACCCTGCTTAGCTTCCGATATCGGGCTATTCAGTTCAGGGTCTGAAACGTTAATAGGCATTTATTAGGAACATTTGATGTCCATGATTAGGAAAGTTAAAAAAAAGACCACATACTGCAAAAATCTAAAAATGTTTCGGGGGGGGGGGGACAACCCTAATCCGACAAAAACCTGCAGCACAAACCTAAGCAGAGTAACGCCCATCGAAGTCCAATCGCCAATGGGCCTAGAAGGTTTTAACTGAGCCCCATTGACCAAAGAAACTCATCTGGTGGGTACATAAGGCGGGGCCTTTTCATTGGCAGCCCCATGGTTATGAAACAACCTCCCCAGTGAGGTCTGCACGGTCCCCTCATTCTCGAGCTCTAGGAGGCAGCTGAAGACCGTTTTATTCAGGACGGCATCTGGTTAGTCCTGCCTATCAGCAGTTTTACATTATTGATTTTAACTCGTGTTTTTTTAATGTGTTTTATTATTATTTTCATTGTAAACCACCTTGGGGAGGAAAGGCGGCGTGGCGTGGCCTGATCTCATCAGATCTCGGAAGCTACGCAGTGTCGGAACTTGGAAGGGAGACCACCAAGGAAGACTCTGCAGAGGAAGGCGATGGCCAACCGCCTCTGCTTAATCACATGCCTTGAAAGCCCCTTGGCCTGGGTAGCCGTAAGTCGGCTGCAACTTGATGTCACTTTTGACCCACGAGCCACCTTCAGTTCCTGTGGCAGAAAGGTGGCCAACAGATGTTTTAAATCCATAGATAAAAATAAATAAACGGCACAACAAGACACAGAGTGTTATGCTTAAACCAAGTCTCTGTCCAAACGGAGACAGTGGCTCGGTTCAAATGTTATGCCAAACCAGAGGCTTGGATATTTGGGAAATTTCTGCTAATGAAGGAAGGGCCATTTTTCCCGATTCCTCCACCTGCTGCAAACCTCCGAGTCCCTCTATCATGCTACTCCTGGAGGTCCCGTGTGCCCAGGAGCAGTGATGCAGGGATGCTTTTGTGCTGCCGCAGGTTCCGGGAGGGAAGCCCCACTCGGCCGGAGGATATCCCTTCTGTCAGTGGGGAATCCCTGCAGGACTTGAGCCATAGTTAGTCACTGCACAAACAACCCTTATGTTTGCATGTTCCCTGCTCTCCTTTGCACAGGGCAATTCAATTAGTAACTTCCTCTTTAATGTGAATTAGTAACTTCCTCTTTAATGTGAATCGTAGTATTGGCAAATAATGGCTTGCGCAACACAGCCAACTTCATCAGTGGGTGTGAAGGAGGGAGCCTCGTGCGAGTATAAGGCCGGTTCCTGTGTCGCCAAACTGCGGTTTACCATGATTTCTGAACCATCCCTTGAAGGTGAGAACCTCCCTGACACTGAGACCGATTTCACACAACAGCTGCGCCATGGTCGCGCCTCCCTTTGCCCTGCTTCTATTGGTCAATTTCCCACTCGAAGCCGCGCGGCCGCATTTTAACCCGCAGCTTTGACCGATTTTGCCCGCGGTTTTGTGAGCCTGTTTTTTGAGGATCACGAAACCGCGGGGAAAATCGGGCGAAGCCGCGGGTCAAAATGCAGCCGTGCAGCTTCGAGTGGGAAATTGATCAATAGAAGCGGGGCAAAGGGAGGCGTGACCACAGCGCAGCTCTTGTGTGAAATCGGTCTGAATCAGACCACTGGCCCATCAAGGTCCTTGCTGTCTACTCAGACCGATGCTGAATCTCCAGGGTGTCAGGCAGAAGTATTTCATATCGCCTACTATGTCGTCTTTTTAACTGGAGATACCAGGGATTGAACCTGGGACCTTCTGCATGCCAAGGAGATGCTTTTACTGAGCCATGGCCCTCCCCTCTACCATTGCTATTATTTCTGAACCAATCCTTCCTGTCTTCCTCCCTGGCTCAGACATTCAGCGCAAAACTGGAAATGCATGACGTCGAACCTAAAAGAGGATATACAGTGATGTGAACGTGGGCTTTTTGGCATTGGCTTCTCCTCACCTCACGTGGACTCCCTTGCTTCTCAGCTACCTCTCCTTGCAGCCTATCGGGTGGATGACTGGCAGTGAGGGAGCCAGTGGGAAAGGAGTTCCCAGGAAGGACAGCTGCAGGTCAGCTTTCTACTGCTCCCCCATACGCCTTCAGGCTTTGCCTTTCTGACTATCACCAGGAAGCAGAGGGGAGGTGGGAGCCTGCTTTTGTTTTGGGGAGTGTGTGGGGAGCAAACCCGGCGCCGGCAGCAGCTTTGCGTTAGGAGCCCACAGTGCTGTGTGTAACGTAGGAAACGAGACACAGCTGGTGGTGTTTGCCGAAGCAGAGGGGAGGTGGGAGCCTGCTTTTGTTTTGGGGAGTGTGTGGGGAGCAAACCCGGCGCCGGCAGCAGCTTTGCGTTAGGAGAACAGCCCACAGTGGCGTGCGTAACGTAGGAAACGAGACACAGCTGGTGGTGTTTGCCGGAAAGCACCTTTTAGTAGAGCCACTCTCTCCCACAAAAGAGCTTTCTTTTGGAGAGTACTCCTATAGGGGAATGTGGGCTCCCATGTTAAAGAGGTCGATTTAAAAATTCAATCTTTCCCCACCTCTTGAGCAAGACCTTTGCCCAGAGAGGGACGAGGAATCATAATTCTGCAAGGAAAGTTCAGTTCTTTTTAGGGAAGAGCTGTTCCTTTGGAGACAACTTTGGACCTCCTGAAAGAGCATTTTTCTGTGGGAAATAGAGCCTCATTGCAGACAGAAGGGAGTACATCTTCCCAGTTGTTCTGTGGTTGCAAGAACCACAGAACAGAGAAGGACCCCCCCAAAAAAGGACAACAGACTTTGATCCCCAGGACTACCCAGGTACAGCAGGGCATTATTTACTATTACTCTTACCCAGAGGTCATTTTGGGGGGAATCGCGGGGGATCGCAGTTCCCCCAGGTGAGGTACGGGGGGCGGGGCACATGACAAAGCCCCGCCCCCTGCTTCCTGCCGCTCCGCTTCTGGCCCTCATTCAGCCAGGAGGAGGCAGGAGAAGAGGGAGGGTAAGTTGCTTCCTCCCTGCCTCTCCCCACCCCTGCCTGCCTGGGGCCAGGGAGGGCCTTTGCGGGGCTTCCTTGCACTCCCGCCGGCCTTGCAGGTCCACCCCCCCTTTGATACACCAAAGAAAAAAAAAACAGCCAGTGCTGTGAATGAACAGAATAGATGGCAGCGCTACTAGAGTAATTTATGTTAACTATTGGGAGAGAAAGCAAGGCTACCGCTGGGAAAACAAATTACTTGATTGGGCTATTATGATTAAACTGGGGAAGTTTTAAAATATAAGCAAGATGGAAAACTAGCAGGTTGCTGAAAATGGGGTTTTGAATGGTTTTATCAACTAATTAGGAAGCTAAATTTAAACACTTCTACTGACTGTCATACAATGGAACGTGTTTTATTTTGTATTGAAATACAAAATCTGAATCCTTATAACAGTCACCTCCTGGAATGCAATTAAATTCTATACACCATGAAAATGGAAAATAAAACAGATTGTAAACACCCCTGGATCACTGTGGCTCAGTCTATCCTATATGACAACCTACAGAGTAATATTTCTTAGTGACTGTACACAGGGCTTCTTTTGTAAAAAAAAGCCCAGCAGGAACTCATTAGCATAATAGGCATAATAGGCATAATAGGCATAATAGGCATAATTAGCATAATTAGCATAATAGGCCACACCCAACAGCAGAAACTCATTAGCATATTAGGCCACACCCCTGACAGCACAGCTCAATAGCACATTAGGCCACACCCCCATGTTACCAGAAGTGTGGTCATCCAGCCACACCCACCTTTTGCTTCTTATTCTGTTTACTTTGTTTTTTGTCAAAACCCAGGGCCTTTTTTTTGTAGCAGGGACTCCTTTGCATGTTAGGCCACACACCCCTAATGTAGCCAATCCTAATGAGTTTCTGCTGTTGGGTGTGGCCTATTATGCTAATGAGTTCCTGCTGGGCGTGGCCAACTTGGGAGCCAGCTGGAACTCCGTTCCTGTGCGTTCCTGCCCAAAAATAGCCCTGGCTGTAGATATCCCCCCACCCAATGGGCTATAATGGTCCTTTTCAAGCAAACCATTTGACATTGGTGGTGACCTCCCCATCTCTGCTGAAGGGAGTGGATGCACTTTGAGATGCTGGAAAGGACAAAGAAGATAAAGGAGAATCACTGGCAGAGACATCTTAGGGTGAAGGATCTCCCTAGGTTTTCCATTTGCTCACTGACAGTAGACAAAAGCCCACCCTCAATGATCTGATGGCACTGATGGTGAAACTCTCGGAATTCCCCTGATCTCTACAGTAAGTACCATAGAGATTGGAGAGAGTCCTAGAGTGTCACCCAGAAGTGAAGACACATTCTTTGTGACATTCTAGGAATTTCCCCAATCTCTATACCTTTCCCAAACATGCCCTCCTTTCAAACGGAGAGACTGATCCAACATTGGCGCCTCTTATGTTCTTATTCTTTGTGACATTCTAGGAATTTCCCCAATCTCTATACCTTTCCCAAACATGCCCTCCTTTCAAACCTCCCAGAATTTGCCAGCACATGGCTGGCTACTCTTGATCTCTTCCTCCTGGCATCTGACATTGGATAGCGAACATCTGCCCTCCAGGCCTCCACCTGTAATCTATCTGCATATTGGCAAATAAAACTGAGTGCGCTCTCTCCTCCAAAAGGAAGTCTGTGTTAGCCCCCTGGAACTTCTCTCCGCTCAGGGGAGCGTGGCCTGCTTCACATTCGACAGCAATCACCTTCATAGAGTTCGGACGTCATCCTCTCATTGACGAGTTCTGGAGCCACCTCCATGAGAGCCTCGGCGGCTTCCGTGCCATCATAGAGGGCGGCTACGTGAAGAGCCGTCTCCCCCACGACTCCTGGGTGGAATAAGCAAAGCGCAAGGGTCACCTAAGGATTCCCGCTGCACGCAAGAGCCATATTTGGTGAAACGAAGGCAGCCAGGTTTGTTTATTCTCGTGACTTCTCCATTCCCCCATAAAACTAGAGGTGAGCAGGTCTCAGTTTTACAACACCAAGGCAGAGGTGGGAGCCTCCCAGCCCTTTTCTCCCAAACTGGCTCCCTTCTGGGACCGGAACCGGCCTGGAAGAAGAAAGCCTGGCATGCTGTTGACCCTCCTTAAACCTGAGCAAGGTTGATCTCCCTTCACACCCATGCCCAGTTTGGTGTAGCGGTTAGAAGCGCGGACTCTAATCTGGGAGAACCGGGGTTGATTCCCCCACTCCTTCACATGCAGCTGCTGGTGTGACCGTGGGTCAGTCACAGCTCTCTTAGAGCTGTTCTCTCAAGAGCAGTCCTTGAAACGGTCCTCTCAAATAAACAAATGGGGGTTCTCAAATAAATGAATGGGGGTTCTGCTGTCCCCTCAGCCATGGCCTTTATTCCAAAATATCGGAATATCCACAGAAAGAGATACCTGGAAAGTGCCATGGATGCCATTTTAAATCATGAAAACATGAGATCTAGCACCATCTTCACTGGGGAGAATCCAAGGCAAGGTGGGTAGAGCCAGCTAGTACATTTTAACACTATTCATGCCAGTTCCAAGGCATGTGAGACGAATATTCATAGGGGAAATGTGGACTGCTTTCATTGTTAGGGAAAGGGAAGTACCTCTTTGATAGACATCACAAGATCCATCCATGGTCAGCTTCCTGATGCCTTGGACATTGTTTTCTTTAGCAGCCAGTAGAAGTGGAGACTCCCAGATCCTGCATGCAAGAAGACACGGACGTTCACATAATGGTGCCCCAGCAAGAACTCAGCTTCTCAGCAGTGTTCCCTCGAAGCCGAGTTAGCGTGAGCTAGCTCAGTTTCTTAGCCTCCAGCTCACACACTTTTAGCTCAGGAAGGAGGGCTCCGGAGCAAACTAATTTATGCAGCAGCCAAATGGCTCGCTCCCAACTTTAATGCCAGGAGCTCACAAAGCAGAATTTTTGCTCACAAGACTTGACAGCTTAGAGGGAGCATTGTTTCTCGGTACCCATTTGGGTGTGCCAACAGCAAATGACCCTTTAGTGGCTGAGGAAGGAAAGGTTATGACAAGGATGAGCCTGGGTATTTGCAAAAGAGGAGCAAAAATGAAATCTCACCAAACCCGCTTGAAGCCAAAGTATATTATCAGTTGCAATGTTTTCAGGAGGCCACCGGGAGGCAGTAGAGGGACAGGTAAGAAAGATGTCAATTTAATAAGGCTCCCCTTTAAAAACCAATTGGTAGTTTTTAAGGTACCACAAGATCCCATGTTGTTTCTAGACTCTAAGATGAGCTCTAGGCATTAAGGCATATCCAGCCTTTTAATTTCAAGCACCGTTCTTAGTGAGCAGGCAGTCAGTCCTTCTTGTATCATACAGTTGTGACTCAAGTTATTTATTTACTTCATATATACCCCAACATGGGTACAACATTTTCCCCAGTTCCATTTTATTCTAACAACAACACAGCATTATAAGGAGGATGCACAACATGATGACTGCAAGGGGTGTCGTACACTTAAAAGGACTATAGCCATTGCGGATTATAAAATGCCTTCTGGTCTCACTAACTTTATTTCTAGATCCAGGTGGGTAGCCGTGTTGGTCGGAAGCAGCAGAACAAAGTTTGAGTCCAGTGGCACCTTTGAGACCAACAAAGTTTTATTCAAGGTATGAGCTTCATGTGCGCACACACACTTCCTCAGATACAATGAAGTAGAAATTACCAGTCCATACATGTAGAGGGCGAGCATCAAATCAGCATACATCATAATGAAGATGTTTAACAGATTCAAGGACCAAACAGGAATACCAAGTTTAGTTTATATGGTTACCATTTATTTGAGTTTAATTGGGAGGGAAACATTGTGAAGGACATAAATATGTCACTATTGGAGATTGATGGGCAGATGTTTCCTTAAATGTGGAATGCTGAGAGTAATTAACTGAGACCCACCATTACGCTCCATCCATCTCCTCTCAAGCAAGGAGGCGACCTTACAGCAACTTCTTTGAAGTGGGGCGATTGGCTGTATAGAGTTCTCTCCCCTGTCCCCAGACCACAGAAATGCATTCCAACCTACCATTCCAAATCACATTACATTCTACTATTCATGACATTACATTACAATCTACTATTCTAATCTATTAGTCCAAATAAGAAATAAAATAAAGAGGACATATTTACATATTAATATCCTGCTTTCTCCCCAGGGGGCTTTCAACATTGTTCTCCCTGTCTCCATTTTACCCTCACAACAACCCTGTGAGGTAGCTTAGGATGAGTGTGTGACTGGCCCAAAGTTATCTGGCAAACTGCCACAACAGAGTGTGGACTGGAACGTGAGTCTCCCAGATCCTACCCCAACACTGCAACCCCAACTTTTCTTGAGTCTGTGGGCACCGTTGGAATTCTAACACAACCATGAAATGGCTACTGCAGGAGGCGGAGCCAACCACAAAATGGCCGGGTGCGACCTTACGCAAAAATAATAGTAACTCTTCCACATTTCAGGCAGAATCTGTTTAACAGGACGCCTTGCTAAATGAACATATTGTTTCAAAATATTTTCTCGCCTATGCAGCTTCCCTTCGGTAACACGGCGGAGATCTTGTGCTGAGGGGAGGGGTAGCCACTGCTGAAGCAGCTTCTTAAAAATCTGCACAGCTGGCCAAATCTCCATGGGCCAATCAGAAACCATGTGGGGCAAAAGCCCCACAGGGCCCCACTTACTTTCTAAAAGGAGCCAGGAAAGGTGTCTGCCACTGCCATGGAGCCCACGGGCACCGGGTTGGGGACCCCTGCTCTAACCACTACACCACACTGGCAACAAGAGTTATGAAATACAAACAGGGCCGGCTCCAGCTTATTTTGCACCCTAGGCGAGGATCCCTTCTGCCCCCCCCCCGTGCACCCACCAATTTTCAAAAATAAATGCATTTTTAAAAGAATGAAAAACACAAATAATCAAGAAACTCCCAGAGTGCGGGGCCAGGTGCAGTTTGGTGCCCCTAAGGGCCATCCCGCTCTAGGCGATCGCCTAGTTCGCCTAGTGAGTGAGCCGGTCCTGAATACGAATAGCAACCAGGCCTGCGTTAATTCTTGGGGGGAAAGTTGAGCGTGAAAGTGGCACTGAAACGGCTCTGCTGTCACACAAAGATCCCTGGCCTTTGCTTTCTGGTTCAGGGTGTGGGGGGACAAGACCATTCCATGGCTTCCCTACCGATTCTCTCCAGTTCCGGAATCCCAGAGATTACAGGTCACGGGAAACTGGCTCCAACTAGCTTTGGACACTTCAGCAGAACAGGGTCAAGGAGAGTCAACAAGACGGAGACCTTTACTCTGCGGGCTGTACCAAGGGGAAGGGGGTCTGAGGAAGATTCGCCTTCTGACTGGGATGAACCAGAGCTTTCTCCCTCTACGAGAAAGAGGAATCCGGTTTCCGGAGGATGTTTGGGAAACCCCAAAGGTTAATAGTTAATGGTCATTAACTGCTTCCCGGACAAGGAAATAACGCTTGCGAAACACATCTGGGTTTAGCTGACTACCAGGTTAACACTCTGTTAGAAAAGATCAACACCTAAGGCAATGCACATGCTTATTATTTTCTGTGGAGGGCAGCGGCTCTGTGGATTTGCCTGTCCACACAGGGAGAGTCCTTGGCTATTAGAGATAGCGATTCAGGTTTTGCAAACTCTGTTAAAGATAACCAAGGCGAGGGTTAACATCTGTGAAAACATTCCACCGTATCTTCCTCTTCATCCTCTTTTCCTCTCCATTCCTCGTTTTTAATGGACACTCAACCAATGTTCCCTCTAAGCTGTGGAGTCTTGTGAGCAAAAATTCTACTTTGTGAGCTCCTGGCATTAAAGTTGTGAGCAAGTGATTTCGCTACTGCATAAATCAGTTTGCTCTGGAGCCCTCCTTCCTGAGCTAAGACAAAAACGTGTGAGCTGGAGGCTAAAAAACTGTGAGCTAGCTCACACTAACTCAGCTTAGAGGGAACACTGGACTCAACTGCCCTCAACACACTATGCCTCCTATACTCATCAGCATGACTTGGGGGGGGGGTGTCTTATTTGATTTACTGGGTAATATTTTTCCAGCACAATCCCACAAGTATGCAGAAGGACAAGAAGACTAAGTTTTTATACCCCCTTTTGTCTATCGTAAGGAGTTTCAAAGTGGCTTACAATTGCCTTTCCCTTCCCCTCCCCACAAGAGGCATCTTGTGAGGTAGGTGGGAGGGGCTGTGGCTCAGCAGTAGAGCATCTGCTTGGCATGCAGAAGGTCCCGGGTTCAATCCCCGGTATCTCCAGTTAAAAGACCTGACAGTCGGTGACGTGAAAAACCTCAACCTGAGACCCTGGAGAGCTGCCGCCAGTCTGAGTAGACAATACTGATTCTGATGGACCAAGGCTCTGATTCGGTATAAGGCAGTTTCACGTGGGGCTGAGAGAGTTCTGAGGGAACAGTGACTGGCCCAAGGCTCCCCAGCAGGCTTCCTGTGGACGAGTCAGGAATCAAACCCGGTTCTCCAGATTAGTGTCCGCCACTCTTGGCTGCTACAAAACACTTGCTCTCATGCCTTATCTGTGGGCGGCTCCATCACGCTGCCCCAACTGACAGGCACCCTACTTGGCTATTACAGAAAGCAAATGGGGGTCCTGCGAGAAAATCCTGTGAGCGATAAACAGCCAAGAGTCCCCTCCCCTGGAGTGCAACAGTGCTGGATCACTGAGCATCAGGTCAGTAGCTTTCTGCTCACCCAGCCCCAAACCTAAGCAGCAGAGTATTATATACAGCACCATTTCCACAGTACGTACAGTGCAAGCCTATTATAATTCCATCCTGCTCTGTACAGTACAGGGGCTGCACTTCATACTGTTAGAAAAGGCAATGTGTGGTGTACAAAGAAGAGGAGGAGGAGACCTTGCAGGGGGCAGCAAGAAGACAATTAGATAGGATGGTGAGGTCAGCACCTTCTCTCCTGTTCAGTGTCCTTCCTTGTCCGTCTCCAGACTGCTACTCTTAGAGCAATGTCCCACTTCTTCTTCCCAGAAGCGCCACACTCAGTCTTACCCTCTCTCTTTGGCTAGAGATGTAATTAGGAACCTATCTCTGCCTCTCCTCTTCCCTACCAAATATGTTTATTCCTAAATAAACCTCTATCTCCTCTTTAATCAGGTTGTGCACCACTGCTGTGTTAATTACTCTGCCAACACATACCCATCTGTTAAGGGGCTTGAACAGGCCCGTGGCTAACGCGGGGCCTGTCCCCCCTGACGGTTTTTACAGGCCCCCCTCCATGGCCAACCCTAACACCCTTCTAAGCAGGAGCCCCACCCCCCACCCCCGGCCTAGGCGATGATAAAAAGAGAGAGATCGCATCCGGTCCACGTAGCAAACCAGGCCACTCTGCTGGACCAGACTGGAAGTTTACTCCCACCGCCCGCCCACTCCCCAGCCCCTTCGCAGAAGCTGGAGGGAAAGGGTGGAACTGCCCCTTCTCCGCCTGATGGAAGGAAGGAGGCTGGGGGATCCACAGCGGCGGCAGCGGCGGCAGGCAGTGTTCCCGAAAGCCAGCGACACACAAAGGTGACGGGATGCAACACGCGCTTCCGCCCAAAGTGCCTGGAGGGGGTGGTGGGCATGTCGCCTTGGGGGCACCTGAATGTCACCGCGCTGTGGTCTGCCGCCTCTCCCCCACAGCCTTTACGGCACTCCGTCCCTCCTG